GTGCCTTGAAAAAGTGGAGCTGTGTTCCTGGCCTGATATCCGTGCAATTTTCTTAGTTTCTTATCAAAAACGTCAGAATATTTCTTGAGCACGTCCTCCAAGCGTTGGTTAATGAAAATGAACCTCACTGTCTCTAACATGGCCGGAAGGTATTTAATCCAGTCGCGCCATAATAAGTTCCGACAAGCATTCGCCACCACATATGACTGTAAACTCTGCTTCTCCTCATTGTAATTTACATCAATGGTGCATTTTCCCAGGACTGGTATCGGGTGTCCAGTGTACGTACTCAAGGTTCATTCACACGGGGATAACGTAGGTAAGCCTTTAACTGGGGCAGCACTGATCATGATATTTAAGGTACCGGTATCAACTTCCATGTTAACCAACTGGCCTTCTGTTTCCACTAGCACAGTATAGGGTGGGTGAATGCTGAGATGCTCGACGATACGTTCCAGATCGTTTAGCTGGTCTTCTTCGTCTGAAAACTGGACGACCTTCACGGGATTCTTGTGAAAAGTTGACGCCACGGCTGTGTAAGCTTTAGATCAGCAAACTTTGGCCAAGTGACCTAATTTTCCACACTGGCGGTCGATACTCTGTTTATGACGACATTCTTCGGCTGATAAATGCTGACTTCCACATCGTTAATAGACAAAAAGCAATTCGGAACGTCTCGGGTAACATCTTTGCGGTCGACTGCTTGGATTGTGTCTGTATGAGGATACGAGGAAAAAGCTGCTAACTGTTTCTAAAGATTCGCCAGCTGTCGAACAATATTGTAGGCCTTCTCCCAGCTCATCGTCGTCTCATCTTCCGATAACAACTTTTCACGAGCCTGTTCATTACGGATACTGGATATCAAGCACTGTAAAACCAACGCCACTTGGAACTTCGTAACTGGAAGTTCCCTATACCGACATACTGGTAGGGCTTGCTGAGTCTGCGCAATGAAAGCGATGACACTTTCTTCGGGGTTTTGATACAAGGTCGAGAAAGGATAACACGCAGTGTATGTGTTCAGTCGTGAACCCCATAACCAGTTGAGGAGTTATAGCGCGCTGTTGACTGTCTCTTTCTCACCGACATGGAGGACATCAAAATGTCTTTGGCCTTCATCCCCCAGAAATTGTTTCAATAATTTAATTTTGTGGCTTCCTGAGAGTACCGTGTTTGGTTGCAAGACGGGTAGTCTCTCCAAATAATCAAAATCTGCGTTTCCAGCGGTTCCATGCAGCCGGTGTTGGTTTCTCAGAAGGAATCTTCCAAAGTAGTATGGGAAGGTGCAATATTACAGTAGGTTAAATTCGTCGCCAGAATATTAAGGATGGCCCTTGGCCGATAAATTGAACTGATCGAGCACGCTTAGTATGGAACCAAATTACCAAAAGCATCCAGCGTTACAACGGCTAGAAAAGTCGGGAAGGAAGACCAGTGAAATAAGCAATGTCAGGCAAGGTCATTCTCAACCATAAGTGTGTGGGCCTGTGTTTGCGAATCGATACGCAAGTGCATACGTGACAGTACATTAACGACTTCACCGATGTCATAAACATGGTAAACCATATGTATTCACAGATGACAATAAAATTGTCTATGAGTTCGATCTGGACAATTTCACTAACGCACTAGCCGACATACAAACGGATCTGCACAAGGTGGAAACTTGGTGCTGCAAGTGGAAAATAGAACACTCATTCGAGAAGTGAAGCTGCATATGTTATCGGTGCAGTATTGCACCTAAATTGTTGATGCGAGAAGGCAAAGCCCTGTCCACCTCTCTCACAATTCGTGATCTGGGGATACACTACTCGAGCTCCTTCAACTTCGCCGTAAAAGGTACAGTACACGATTGCAAAATCCCGTAAACTAGGTGGACTAAGACAAAAATCCCTTTAATCTAAAATCTACTTGTATAAAACCCATATTCTTCCCCTACTCGAATACTGATGATTAATATACGCCAATCTGAAAAAAGTGATAGCATATTAATAGAAAAGGCACAACGCTACTTTGCGAAGCGTCTAATGAGAAACGCTGTTGGTCTTACCTACTATTACCTTTGCTATGAGAAGAACTTAGAACCTCTCTGGTTAAGGAGACTAAAACTTAACCTGAACTTCATGTTTGATATGATCCACAAACACGTCTTTATCTCAGACTAGGGTTGTACATCAACCTTACCTCAAGTAGAATATAAGGGATGTAGATAGCATGTTACACATCGAAAAGGCACGAAGTAGCTTAAGATGAAATTTCTTTCTTAATCGCTGTGCAGTGATGCGTAACGAACTACCGCAAAATCTGAGAACTTGTGACTCAAAGAGCATTTTTCCTACTCTAGTTAATAGGGAATTGACAGTGAATAAATTGAAGGATATGCTAAACGTAAACGCGAGTATAGCCACCTTGTATGAAGGACAGAGCGCCTTTTAGCAAATGATAAGTTTCTCTGTTTCGAACTCAACCCACTACCACATTTTTACTTATAACACAACTTTGTTACGAACTTCTAATTAACCCACTTTTCTGTCCGGAGGAATCAATGAACAAATTGTGGGGCGATTACCGAAACCTGTCGACTGCCGCGATCGGATTGAAGGCAAACCCGTCTTGATGATTCAACTACAAATGTGATCGGAGTAACCCTACAGTCCGTGTCTTGCACTATCGAGACATAAGCTATTGATTTATTTTTATTTGTGATTACCTTATTACCCTCCTACTGTAATGGTACAAATTACTTTTTCTGTTGCGAGGGCGACAGTCCAGGATCAGAGAAAAATTCTCAGCGCTCAGCGCTATCAATTCCTGTACTTTTCGAAAACAAGCAAATGATGATTAATCTGAAAATCATTCTCAGAACTGTCTAGCATATCGATACTTCGAGAAGTCATCTGTTTTTGATACCTCCCTGTACAATTTGGCCGGTCTCTCTTGAGCACATACTTTACATTCTTCTTTACTTCGCTGTTGACCACGAATGAGTCGATTTCCTGTAGCGACGGATTTAAGTGCACAACGCTAATAATAATACACATGCAAGGCGCATTGCCACTGGTTTACTGGCGATAAAATAAGTGCTTTACGCAAAAATAACCAGCTGATGGTACTGGCTAGGTTGCTTGACTGTCCACATTATGCACACGAAAGAGCCCTAAAGATGAATTGCGGAAGTGACGGAGAACCTGCTTTAAAAGCCACACCGGCACAGGGACAGATGGGTATGGAAGTGTAAGTGAAATCCATCGAGAGAATAACCCGCATAGAAGCAGGTCCCCAGGAGGCGGTCCCATTAACAGCTGTATTGCTTCATTTATACGTTTTATCTAGCTACACTTGTTAACACATGTTAACATTTAAAACCTCAAAATCCTCCCGAAAGAATTAACCGATCAAGTGGCAATGTCCGCCAAAATGTCTGTGGACTGCTTTGAAAAATTCGAAAAGTATAACATCTGCTCCTTACGATTTTGCCGTATACCAAAAATCGTAATATCCAGTCGAACCATACCATGCACCGAGGAGAGTGATCCCTTTCTTTATTATTTACTAAAACGTTATATTGCCAATGCAAGAGCATGGTACTATCTGTACATATTGGCTCTGCGTCAAATATGGGAGCAGCTTCTCCATTACAGAGAAACATACCCAGTATTATTATTAGCATTAGTATTATTATTATTAAATGCTACGTATTCCTTAGTGTAGACAGTTGATCCTGGTCTAGCCTTGAACACACAAGATGATGCCAGTTTACCAACAGTAGTTATCTGGAACTCTATTACGGTCCACGATGTACCATCCTCCAATATGTTAACTTAAGTGGAAAATATAGCATGGCTGATACATTCTCGTTATTGTCCTCATGAGGAGTGTTACTGTTAGAACCTTAACTGCCAGGAACGCTGTGGTCTTCTGCAGACCCCTGGAAAATGACATCTTCATCAACCTCATAGTCATTCTCCTCTCTAGACTATTTGTAATTGATAGCTGTAGGTTCTCGCAAAAGCTCAATGGCTGTTTTCCTCCTACGAGCAATTGTGTACCAATGCTACTGAAATTTATCAGACGAATTACACAATATCACTTGGAAATTTTGTGCAGTCTAGCTTTCATTCCCGTTTTGAGTGATATTGCATGTGAGTTTGTCAGAAAATAGTGGCGGCTGAAAATGAAAGGAGAGACCGAATTAGAGGAAAGCTGTCATTTTGATAGGAAAGGGGTTTTCTCTGTAGTACCAATGCAACTACTTCTTTTCTCGCAAACCCTAAAAGAGATTAAAGTGTAACTTCACAGTTATGAAGGGCGTCCACAATATTAAAAGTCACTAAATATCTTTGAAAAGGTTTACAAATGTAGAAAATACGCACATTTAACGACGCTGAGCGATCAAAATGATCGCTTCGAGCATCCTAGTGTTAAACATAGTTTCATTAGAAACTTCCTCAATGGTGCCTCCCCTTATTGCCAGTTGGGTAGTTCAGCGAATCCAGCAAATTGTTCGGTGGCAGTGTTCCAGAAAGTAGTAGATTAACGCTTGGCAAGCGTTCTCCCTATAAAAAGCTACATATGTCTGTCTACTTTGTTTGGGAATGTATTCAATTCACTACCGAAGGCTTAGAGCAGACGTAATCCTAACCTACCCTATATTAACTGGGAAGGTTGATCCAAATTTATCTTGGCTATTTAGTCCTGCTAGATTGTCTGTTTTACACGATCATTCCATCAAGCTGGTCAACCTGCGGTCCGACCGGATTAGTGAGGAAATCCGGCTGTCACGCTGTCATCAGGCGCTAGAATATGCTTCCGGATAGTGTTATCAGGGAATCTACAGTTAAGGGGTTTGAGCCTCAACTTGACGCTCTTGGGCAAAAACACGAAACTTTTACTTTTTCCTGAGTAACTCGAATCCTCATACTTCGATTTTATGTTCTCGACTTTCTTCATGCATTGGTATCATCCTTTTAGTTCAAGTGCACTTTCTTATTCTCTACCTTAGAGTTCTCTTCCTATCCTTGACTTACCTCATGTGACTGCTACAGCATGGATTACTAGGACAGGAAACGTAGGCATTAATTGATTGAACGGGGTGCCATACGGGTGTTCCGTTTTAAATCCGTCATGAACTCTGAGCACTTCATCAATTCCTGGCGCAACGATCCACTCAAGTTGGAACACTCACGGAATTCTCCTATCGTTCCAGTTCCACCCGAACTTGAACTTGAAGTTGAACAACACTGCGACATGGCGGATATGACTCGACACCAAATAACATCACTGCCATTCCTTTATCCGGATCCGCTTCCTCACTCCATAGACGTCAATCTCCCAAACCGAAGAGTTCATGCGAACCCTTCTCATGCCGACTACTTGACTGAGCACAACACCAAATGCAACGCCAAATTAACACATTCAGGCAACAACGATACATGGATTCATAACCGCATACATTCATATACACGTACGCACACAGACCTCATGCATTACTGGTTATTATGAAATATTTCTGTACGATTAGCTATCAATCCTGTTTCTATTACTTTGATCACGCCTATACACGCGTGCCTCGCACTGTCGAGAATAATTAATTTGTTTGTTTATTTAGATGGTTTTGCATTCCAGTACCTGAAACGAATGTTTCCGACTATCAGTGATGCGAAACTCAAAGAAGCGATGCTTATTGCGCCTGATATTTGCCGGGCAGACAGTGCGTTCGATTGCCACTCGACTTCATTTGAGTTAGAAGCATGAAGGTCATTCAATGCAGTGTGTAGAGAATTATTAGGTGGAACTAAGACAGAGAACTACAAAGACACTGTAAAACTCACTGAACAATTAATTTATACGGGTTAAGAATCGTAGCTTTACAAGTCCCGTTGCATAGTTGGTGGGGACATCGACATAACAATAATGATAATAATGATAGTAAAGCATTTAGTAATTTAACAATGAAAATAAGAAATTACCGTTTGCTCCACCTTAGTCCTGCAATCCGCTTAGGTTCACAGCACCCGCAGGTAACATCAAATAATTCCATGGTAAACTCCAGGTCTGAGATGGAGACGTAGTGCTAAGTGACAAAGTGTAAGTGGATGAGTGCATCGTCCAACCGTCTTTCAAATAGTGTTAGTGTCGGTGCAGAGACAACTGATTCTGGGAGAGCAGTTCATGCGTGACAAACACGAATTGAAAAGAAATTTCTGCGGCACTCCACGCAGCTTTACTGTACAGCGAGTTTCAACGAGTGGCCCCTCAAGCTTTTATTGTTGTTGGGTTGAAGTAAAGGGCGGCACACATGATGTGGGTCTCGTAGAATCAAGTATGCCATAATCAGGTCGCCTCGTAGTCTGCGATAGCTTAAACTGAACAGCCTCAATTGTTGCAGCCTCTCCTGGTATAAAAGTTTGCGAAGTCCAATTACGTTCTTAGATGCCCGGCGTTGTGGCTGCTGCATTGCATTGAGGTCGTGTTTCAGCCGTACTATGCCAGGTATGAATGGCGTATTCGACAAGGGGGGGAACATCTGCACTGAGCATTTGTCGAAATATGGAGCTGTTTATTTGTCCAAACGCCCGTCGCAACATCTCGGCGTGTTGGTTCTCAGTCTTCGAGGCCTTTTCGGATTGCCTGGAGCAACCCAAGTCCTCTTGAACTAGAACACCCAAGTCACGTTTGAGACTTGATCGTTGTAGTAAATTCGTTCCGAACCGGTATGAGTAGCTGCTTTGATGTCGGATGGAAAGCACCGTGCATTTACTGACTTTAAAATGCAGTGTTTCGGGTTGACCATTGATACACCGTAGCAAAGTCACGGTGAAGCAGATGCTGTTTGGCGTAAGCCTGGATCATGCACCAGATCTTGACATTGTCGGCAAACATTAGGAAGTTTGAAGTGATTCCCTGTGTAAGGTCATTAATAAACACCAAAAACAAACGTGGACCTAGAACCGAGCCTTGCCACACATTATACTCGACTTGTATGGGGTCCAATAAAGAGCTCCGAACTCTGACCACTAATTGCCGTTGAAGTAGAAAGATTGCAAAGCAACTTAGAATAGAGTCACCAATTCCTTAACGCTGGGGCTTGAAAAGTAGTGTCCATTGGTCTAGACGATCGAAAGCCTTGGAAAAATCCAGGTAGATCACATCAACTCCTTCACTAGCGTCAGGCTGTTGGTGCATGAATTCACATTCTACATAAGCACCGTAACATTTTCATGAGCATTTATGAACTGTTATCGATGAATATGATGAGCAATTTCATCAAGACAGTTCAGTCATAAAGCAGCGCTACAGTGGCAATTACATGCCTTCTATAAGGGTGACTTCTGCTGATCTCCGCAGATTGAGAGCATTGGATCATACAAGCGACGATCGCGGCGAAGGCATCCTTTCCCAGCGCCGAGATGCAGTCAGTGGTTAGCGGCGTGTTGCAGTGATATTTTAGACGTATTTATCACATAGAGGCATTCAGTATGTGTTATGATTCAGTACATTAAGATGCCGAGTGAACTGTTCGCTAAGCTTGGCACTTTTGCTGCAAACGTTTCGCCACCAATCGAGGAGACATCATCAGTGCGTAGTTGCTTGGCGTGCAGCTGCGTAGAGTAGCATATGACGTACGACGTAGTCTTGACATTAGAGAAAATAAGCATTTGGTTATAATAATGTAACCGGACGTGCTAGCTAACATCGGAATACATTTCTACAGTGGAGTATATTCTTTGAGGTGGAAACATTAGCGTTTCTGTCATAAAACAGTTATTTTGTTGCACAACGTTTTCCAAGAAGCCGTCTTGAGAGTTGGTTATTACCTTTCTAGATAGTAGGAATTCGAGAGTCTTAGATTTTATATGTCGCCACATGATTTTTTATTGGATCGATGTATGGCATATTGGGCGATACTTTTTGGGTCTGAGAAGTGAGCCTGATTTATATCACGGCAAAACGTTAGCTTTTTCCACTGAGCTGATACGGTGCCGGTGTTCACGCATAGATTGAACTTACTCAGTAATAGCTAGATATGATAGATTTGCATACCTCGCTGTTCCGCATTCATCTATCACTACATTTGCGATAATTGCTACGACGAGAATGCGCATTCGTTTTCTATCTGACTGCAAACGCAGTGCTCATTATCCATGACAGTTTTGCAAGTTGCTACGCCGGAATCGGCTGAGGCCTACCATCGCAAACTTGAAGTGGCTTGCCAACTCCTATTTGGATGAGGCAAACAGAATCCTTGTGCAACTAATGGAAACATACCAACGCCGTATGGCGATCACTGACCAACTCTCACTGGTTTGTCGAATCAAATTCACGAACTTTTGCAAAACCGTTGTTGACAGAACGAGGAGGAAACTGGACAAGACCCTGCGTAGATCGCTTTAAAACACAAATGAAGAACCCGTCTTTTCCGACAACCTACAGAAGCATGTACACAACCTGTTTTCCGTATCCTTGAACAGAAAACAAATGGAAGCTTTGTCATTGGGTGTGAATTTTAAGATTCCCCCAAAGAATGTCGACCGAATACATGTTGAGACTCAGTTTGAAAACCTACTGGACCAACGACGACTAAGGAACAGCACAACTGGCTCAAGGTTAAGCTCGTTGATATTGCAAACGGTTACATGGCGGCCCCGATACACCAAACCTGCTGTATAGATAAAAGTCACATCAAAGCCTTACGTGATCTGAAGGCAAGAGATATATTGGTGCTAAAACCTGACAAAGACACAGGGGTTGTAATTATGAATAAGTTTGACTACAAAAACAAGATGTATCAGATCTTAGGAGATGAATCAAAATTTCAAGAAGACCAAAGCAAAACCACTGTAACACAAATCGAAAAGAGGGTGACTAATCAACTAAAATTGTTGGTGCAACATGGAATGCTAACAGAAGCGATGTACAACTCTCTCAAGCCAAAGGGGACACGCATCCCACAAATGTATGGCTTACCGAAGATCCACAAGGCCAACACACCTTTAAGACCTGTACTATCCATGTGTAATTCACCATACCACAAGTTGGCACGTTGGCTAGTTGATCTACTTACACCGGTGAGACGAATGATGACAAAGTACACAGTGAAGGATACATTCGACCTGATTGACTGTGTGCAAAACATGAATATCGCTGACAAGGTAATGTGTTCAATGGACGTACAGTCTTTGTTCACTAATATCCCATTAATAGAAACGGTGGATTTCTTATGTGAGTTTATAATGAGTAATAAATTAGTGTTACCGATTCCCGTGGAATATCTTAGGGATTTGCTGCTACTATGCACTGAAAATGTGCATTTCTTATTTGAAGACAAGCCGTATCTACAGGTGGATGGTGTAGCTATGGGAAGTCCGCTAGGTCCGGTATTGGCTGACATCTTTATGACGATGGTTGAAATGAGATGTGAGCAGCACATCAATCAAATGTGTTTATACAAGCGATACGTAGATGACACATTAGTGATTGCCCCAAGTGGAGAAGCTGTTCTATCTTTCCTCAACGTGCTTGATAACACACATCCAAAAGCCCGTTTTACCTGCGAACTGGAGGATAACAAATTCCCTTCCGTTTTTGGATGTGTTGTTGAACAGACGAGAAGATGGCTCCATTAAGCGTTCTGTACACAGGAAAGCTACATGGATAGGATTGTATGAACACTTCAACAGCTTCGCCCCTATACAATACAAGAGGTGCTTGGTCAAGACGCTGTTTAATCGAGCCCGCAGAATATGCACTGACGATTGTTTGGAATCGGAATTACTGTTTATCACACAGACGCTACGAGCCAACGGATATCCAGAAGCGTTTATTCGATTCCACGGTCAACTGAAGGAAAACAGGCCGATGGTACTTACTGTGCCCAAATTGTCTGTCTATCTTCAATTACCTTTCAAAGGTGATATCGTGGCTGCCCAACTTGAAAGTCGTGTGCATACAGCGATTCGGCGGACATTCAAAGCAGCCAAATTCTGCCTCATTTGGGAGACCAGGAAGTTACCTATGCCTCCAGTGAAGCCTACTCAACCGGTCTCCGCCACAACCCATTGCATTTACTGATTCGTTTGTAACTGCGGTAGTAGTTACATTGGCAGAACAGATCGATCCTTGGGTAAGCGCACTGGAGAGCATATCCCAAAATGGATTGCCAAACTATCGACACAAGAAGGAGGCGAACGAGAAAAGGTATCTAAGATGCCGGCCTCATCGATCGCCAAACATCTACTGGAATCAGGCCATCAGGTTGACCCCAGATCAACATTTACAGTTATCTATCGTAATGACAACCCCAAAATGTTGAGGTTTGCCGAAGCCGTGGCACTTAACCGGCATCGCCCTACCCTATGCGTACAAAAACAATTAACAGTCTTCCTTGGGGCTCATGACCCTAAGATCAGGATGCTAATCTGTCATTGTTGTGTCTACGTAATTTTGCCCTTGTGACCAGTTTCAAATCTTCGATTTTTTCTGTCACGTAATTCATCTATCTGTTGTTAGTTTGCGAGTGAACAGATAACACGAAATGGTACCATCTCGCAATACCAGTCTTCTTATTGTCTTATTTAGAATACTGTAAGCGACAAAACTTGCT